TTACCTTCACTGACAGACTTTTCACTGATTATTGATGGATTTAGAACAAAGAGAAGATGGAAACTGACCACAGAGACATGAGTTGATGATGATGAGCAGCAGGATCCTGGAGATCATCTTCTCCTGAGGAGAGGAGACAGAGGAGGAGAGTCAGCAACACATCAGCTCCAACATCACTGACAGACAACAAGGATCATTTCGTGGAACGAACGAAGTCTGTGTTTTAATCTGTAAAGATAAAATATGTAAAATAAAAAAATCCAGAAAAAGCTTAATTATAATGATATCTTTTAATTATAATCATAGATAAATACTTCAGCAGGTTTCAGGTCTTTGCTGCAATATTTAACTCCTAATTAATCTAATTAAAAATATTTTAGATTCTTTATTTTATGAAGGTTAAATTAATCTTTCAGAATTCATAAAATGAATCCATCATCATTATCAAACATCTGAACCTAAGCAAGAGTTTTTATTTTTATGTTTTAAGTAACTAGAGGCTTTTAAACTAAGATTTTCATACTTAACTGCTTTTACTTAAAAAACTAATTACATGATTTTACTAAGGTTCAGACCCAAATGCAGAAGACCAAACAGGGAGACCAGGGAAAAGGTTTAACAGGTTTTATTGAAGAGATTATGCAGAGAGAAGTGTTGCTCTGAACACTGCTCAACCGAAACTGAAAAGTGAGGGGAAGACACAGCGGTTAGTTCAGGCTCAGTGGGAAATTTGACTAGTGAACTTGGAGAAGAGGATTTGGATGCTGACTCACGTTTCCAGAGAAGTTGTTGAATCCTTGACTCCATTCTGTATGCTGTAGTTCCAGTGTTTGCCTGATTCGGTGGAGGGTGGAACAAGGTTTACCCAGAATGTGGCTGTTAATAGGTGAACGGAGAAAACTGACTGCCACTCAGATTTCCTGCGGTACTTGAACGGGTCGTAGTGGAGATTAATCCCTTTCTCAGTGTGAAACTCAAACAATCTCTTGGGGAAAGTGGATCCAAACCTCCTGTTTGAACCCCAGCTCAGTTTGTAGCTCAGTTGATCCTTCCAGGGAGNGCTCAGTTTGTAGCTCAGTTGATCCTTCCAGGGAGAGAAGGTCCGAAAAATCCAGTTAGCAGGATGACTTCCTGCCGAGAGACAAAAGAAAAACAATGTTAAAACTCCGGTTGACAAGAACTCAGTTTGACTCAGCTAAACTCAGCTTGGCTAGAGTACCCAAAACTGGCAAACACTCTGGCGTCGAGGTAGTGGCAACCAGCAGCTTAAGAACACTCCGTTAATGAGGTAACCGTCAGCAGGTGTGTGAGGAGGCGGACCAGAACCAGGCGCTTCCTGGTGGATGAAGGGAGACAAACACAGAAAACACAAACAGACAGACAGGAGTCCTGACAACTATAGGAAAAAAGTAAAAGGAAATAATATCTGCTCAAGTTCTGTAAAAAGGATTTTAATTGACCAGAGGAAGATTTATAATGAGAAAAATCAGGAGAATCAGTTTAAAGATCTGTTTCATTTTTTAGGTTTGGATTTTTTTTCTTTCCTAAAACTGTTGTATTATTCATGATGTGTATGTATAATTTTTGTTTAAAATGAAGTTTATAATTATTGTTGTTGTAAATAATAATGATTTACCTCAATAACATAATAGTTCAGATCATTTCCATGCTCAGCAGGTATTCAGGGTCATTGCTATCTATACTTTATTTGAGTAAGTATTTTTTAGACAACTTTTTACTTCTACTCTTTTTTTTTTACTTTATACTTTACTTTATACTCCTTAAATAAAAAAAGACTCAATTGTTTTGTTTCATTTAAGCTCCTTTTCATTTTACTTAAAAACATAAATAAAAACCATCAAATAAATTTGTTTAATCCAGACAATTAATTTTTTAAGGTTGTATTACACCAACTTGTCACATAATATACCAATTTTTTTTTTTTTAAGATGATGCAAAGTTAAATCTGAAACTGTTGCTATTAGTTACAGTATAAAACTAATAAGATGAAGTATAAGGAAGTTATTATCCAGAATTGTTGAAAAATTTTCATTTAATAGGTTAGTGCACTAAAGCATCTTCCTTAACATTTTTCATGGGCATGCCCAAAGTCGGTCCTCGTGGGCCGGTCTCCTGCAGGTTTTAGAGATTTCTCTGCTCCAGCAGCTGATTTTCATTGATAGCTGATCAACAGGCTTTTTCTGAGCTGCAATCATCAGGATCAGCTGAGCTAAAGCAGTGAAACCTCTAAAACCTGCAGGACAGCAGGCCTCAAGGACCGACTGGGTATGCCTGCTATAACTTTTACAAAAGTGTTTTAAAACAGTAGGATTTATATTTATACTTATGTTAAAAACTGTAAAGGTTTTTAGATGACTGAGCTCACTTTTAATTAAAGCTCTTGCAAGTGGAGAGCTCACAGTTACACAGAATCTCTCAGTGAGCTCTGACAGGGGTGGCTCCTCCCTATATATAGATCATTTTTGCGTGTAAAAGAAGTTACAAAATATTAACAGAAACTCTTTTGCACAACACAACAGTTTCCACAGAATTGACCTCTTGAGGTGTTTCTTAGTAACTGTTTTACCACTAATCGCTCTTGCTTGCTATTTCAAACTGACCGTACACAGCTTATGCAAAGATGTTTATCCTGTTAAGAAACTCTAAGTTTCTGCAATGTCATTTTACACGCTTTTGACCTTTAACAAATATACTGCTTACTTAAAAAGAAAGATATAAGTTGAACACACAATTTTAACTTCACAAAACAGTAATAATTTAGACACCTCTGAATGAGTGTGGAAATATAGAAATATACATCAGAGAGACACTCTCTTCTCACTGTTTTGTTCTGCTTAAACGTTTTATCTTTCCGTGTAAACTCCTTATCATTTCCATTTATATCTAAAGATATTTTCTGCCATAAAGCTCAAATTCTTTTATACACATTAACTAACAGTAATGTTAAAACATGCAGCTTAACCTCGTACGTATGCAGTGGATCAAAATTATTCTCTTCCTGCAAACAGCTCTGTGTTGATCTATTTAAAGGCACACTATGCAACATTTTTCAGTTAATTAATGTGTTCCATAACGTTTTGGATGATTAAATGAGTCATTTCAGGT